TTTTTTCGTTTCTATTTTTTCTTCTGTCATCTTCCTTTTTCTCTTTCATCTAGTATCTTATTCGATTTAATGTTTTATACAGGCCCTTGATTATGGAATCAGTGACCTGGAAGCTTTCTTCAAGAGCTCAGAATTTTCTAGTGCCAATTTTGAGCTTGACGAGGCAAGAGGTATTATAAGGCATCGTATGAACCACTGAGCTGAGAGACTGATTCCGGTGTGGGATATTTGTTCATTCATAATCTTAGTGCTAAGTTTCGCCACCATGCTTCCATAATCACTTTGCATGTTGGAATATTTTGGAAGTAGTTGATGAGGTTTGCATGTGGACAGCCGTTTGGGATTTCCTTAAAAACAACATTCTGAGACTTATTCAGTCGGCTCAAACTCTTCGATTTTCAAGAAAGTTGTTTCCAGAGGACTTGCTGTTTGAAACACCCTTGAATGTTAAGTTATCCCTAGTTTTTGTCAAATTCAACTCCTCACAATTAACTCAGAGAGATATTTGCATGTAGTGTTGATTTTTCTCCCACAGCTTGAGTTCAAATAACTTGTACAAAATGAACAATTGCTGCTTATTAATCATTTTATTGGCTCCTCGTAGACATTAAATCTGCGCTTATAAATCTTGGAGTCAAAATACTTAAGAAGGAAATTTGCCCAATTTCATGAAACATGGGTTCAGTCCAAAATTGCAATGAACCGTTAAAAAAAAAAAAATGAATTTACCAAAATAATAACTAAATTGCACGGCAATATAGGAAAATAAATAAATAAATAAATTGACCTTGAACTTTGTATATAAAAAAATAATCCAATCACCGTGCATTGGAATGTATGGTTTAACTTGATAATAACTTTTTATTTTTATTTTATATATATATATATAAATATATATATGCAATGTAAATATCAAATTAAAGATATTTAACATGAAACTTATTTAAAAGTATTATATATACAATAAACTGATAAAAAAAAAAAAGTAACGATAATAAAATTTGAAATTTACTTATAAGTTAATTTAATTTGTCTTTTTTTTTTTATTTATAATTTATAACTTTTAATATACATGTAAATTTCCTGTATGAACTATTTTGGAATCCTAATAAGAAGTAGGTTTGTAAACAAATCGATTTTTTTTATTCGATTCGATATTTGTGATTTGAATTTGAATTCGAATACCGGTAATATTTTATATTCGAAAGTTAAACGAATTCGAATTTATAGTTATTTGATTTGAAATTCGATATTCAATTCGTTAAGGATAGTTGCATAAATTTTAAAAATTGTATAGTATAAATTTTGTTATATATATTGTTATATTTCTAATATTTTTATGACATAAAAAGTAAAAACATCCTAAATTAATAATTTGCCCAAAAATATCTCGTATTGGATAGGAAAACATAAACAATATATTTTTGTAATGATAAAATTTTTAATTGTTATTTTATATATATATATATATATATATATATATATATATATTTTTTTCTGAAAACGAATTCGAATTGAATCGAATATTTTTTAATATTTTAAACGAATCGAATATGAATAAAAAATGAGTCCGTTTACGAATTGAGTTCTAATATTTTAATATTCGTATCGAATATCTGAATATTCGATTTGATTCGATTCGTTACATCCCTAATACAAAGTCAAAACTGAAACGATTTTGATTATTAACTTTGAGCTTATTTAAATTTCATTAAATTATTCTTCTGTTTTTTTTTTCTTAAAAATAAAAAATAACCCTATTTATCCATGATGTATGTCGGCTATGCTCATGGTGTCGCATGACATGGGCATCTCATTGCCATGTACTTTCCCGCGCAAACAAAGCAAGGGTTTTATATTTTCCCCCAAAAATCCCCAATAATAAACTGGATTGCTATTTACCGCC